TAGTATTAATCGCTCAAAAATCTTATTGTTGGTTATGGATAAGGAATTAATTGTGGACCCTACTCAGACAGCATGTACCCTTCAAGTTCAAGCTGGTACCAATCCAGGTGACTGACACAATCCTACTGCAGAGCAGACTGTCCTGAGCCGACTGTTTCATTGATTTCATTCATATTGATTCTGGGTACCTTGGGATTGAGCTTGAAGGCTCGCCATCCACTGGGAGCACCAGACCGTCTCCACAATGGTTCTCATTCAAACATAAAACCTGACCTGCATTTACAAACAAGCTTAAAGTGTCACATGGTACCAACACAGGCAGGTTGGACCCAAGCGCAAATACACACAGGCAGGCTGGATGATAGTGAAGAAGCTTTTAATATCTAAAAACAAGCTTACTGGCAGACAGACGAACAGACAGGCAAACAAGCACAACAGGTAACAAAACTCAGGTGTCTGACACAAGAAAGAAATAAGTGCTGGAACAAGTACTGGCCTGGGTGATGAGGGATCTGGGATCAGGTGTGTGAGTGGGCAGGGAAACAGATAAATGTCTGGGGTGGACAGAAGGAGAACATAGAATGAACATGAAGTTGGACTTAAGTGAAACCTAGAACACAGACTGTGACATTAGTCTCTGTTCTGTCTTCTTAAATCTTGTGCAACGTCATAGAACATAACAAGGTCAAATCAAGAACTGACTTATGAACTGCAAATACTAACACACTGACAATTATTTGTTACCCTCTTGATTAAATCACAAATTAACAATAGAATTATTTGATTGAAACATCAAAACGCTTATCTTAAAATCAAGGGGGAAAATAATACAAATATTAGATATGAAAATAAGATTTTAAGGTATTGCTTAAATGTGTTCTCATTTATCTTCAACAGTTCCTCAACAATCTTTTCCTTCAGAATTCTCACAAACTTTTGAAGTATAGTCAGAAGAGAACCGGCGAACTCTAAAATATTCACTGTATGGAGTTGGAGGAGATATCATTTCTAGGAATTTATTTCCTTTTGCTTCTTCCTCAACTCTGCTCAACAGTTCATAATTTCCACTTTCCTTCAGCTTGATTACAAACTGTTTAAACATAATATGCAGAGGATAGGCACATCCCATGACGATGTGTGGCTGGTCTCCAACCTTATAAGCAAATAGAAGACTATGCAAACCAAACACTCGGCCAAAAGCATCAAACACTGGGGAACCAGAGGAGCCGCGATACATAAAGGTTTTGTAGGTCACTACTTTTTCTGCTAGAACTCCACCGGACAATATGTGTTCAATACCTTGATCTGTGATCACCTGAATGATGGAGTGGACAGTGAACAGATGGTCTTTGTATGGACGTAAATGATCATTGATCATTCATCCATCCAACAGCTATACCGCTCATCCTTTGAAGATTGCAGGGGAGCTTGAACCAATAGCTGGTTACGCCCTACACAGGTTGCTAGTCTATCACAAGGCTGACACTTGGAGACAACACAACAAGTTACGCTCAGACCCACAACTACAGGCGATTTAAAGTTGCCAGTAAATCTGACCTGCACGTCTTTGGCCTGCGGGAGGAAGCCAGAGTACCTGCAAGAAACCCATGCAGTACCCATGCATACTGACTTTATAATGAATCAATGTGTGCACTATGCAGTAAAAGTAGTTTTACTGCATATCTGTGGTTTCTCAAGGTACTGTGTTTGTTATGAGTACATAAAAGATAACTCACCATGGAATCCAGACAAACAGGCTCAGGCTACCACAGGTTGAACTCCCAGATAGGGGCTGAAGCCCTCACTGCTGTAGGTTTATAACCATAATGGATGGAGAAAACTTTCTTGCAAACTTGAGCAACTGTAAGAAAATATAATTAAATTTTTTATTCAACACGGATGTTTTTGTTATTCGATTAATCAAAATGAACTAAGTAGTTAACATTTTTAAGGGTGTTTTGCTTGAAAACATGGAAACATCATCTTACATTTTATTCTATTCATTATAGACATAACCATAATTATAAAATCTGTAAATTAAAAAAATGAACTTGGGTGTCTTTCCCTGGATTTGGTTGAAGAGGTATAACCCAATTTTCAGTTCAGCAGTTTATAAAGCAGTTGTTCCTCCCACACAAGTACTGCGTTTCTATTGTCACTGCCAGGCTTTACAATGACGTTAGTGCCTCCTTGTTTAGCTGTTTTACCTTGGAGATATAACTCTGTGATCACCTTGTTACATCCAACCTCGTACTCCCCAACAAGTCTATCAAAATTTTTACAATTTGTACTAAAACATACCCTGCAGTAGTAAAGCTTATAGTCAGCATTTACAGTTAGCATTAACCATAAAAGTAGTAGCGTATTTACCTTTTTACTTTAGTGGCAGAAGAGGAAGTAGCGCATCTTACGTATGGGCACCTTACTGTCTTTACATTGGCTCGCTGACCGGGGGTCTCCATATGTTTGTTGGCCACTCTCGCAGTGGTCTCATTTAAATGAATGAGGGATCTGCATTTTTTTCATGCAAAGGCAAGTTTATTAACAAAAAACAATTCAGACACAAGGTAATTGAAAATGGTTTACAAAGGCAAAGAATTACATTAAAAAAGACCTTAAGTACATGATATATAGTTTTTACTTTTATTTAACCCTTATGTTTACAACTATGGCCTGGAATTTCATTTAAAACATAAAAACAAAAGTGGTTTACAGTGGCATAGAATAAGTAAAAACATTTAAAATAAGATAGATAAAATAAAATAGAAAACAAGCAATGGCTGGCTGGCCTCAGCTGCTTTCTAAGGTGTGTCTCAGCACAGGAAGAAAGGCCCAGGTAAGCTTCCCACCCCTTTTTATAAACTCTGCCCGCTAGCCTGGGTCCTAATGCTGGACCCTTGTTTCCTTCCACATCAATTCAAAGTTATAGATATGAAGTGTTTTTATGTCATAATGATCCTGAAGTTTGGTTTTTCACCAGCTGTTTTCTACCTGTCTGCCCAGAGCTGATGTTGGTCTGAGCACCTCCACCTCAACTAATAAAGGAAATACAGTTGGAAAGATTATGGATTATATTGATTTTATTAACTAAGATAATATGTGAAGCATCTCGCCCAAAAGGATGCTGGGATAGGCTCCAGCCCCCCCGCGACCCTACTAGAGGATAAGCAGTAGAAAATGAATGAATGAATGAATGAATGAATGAATGAATATGTGAAGCCAGATGTGTTTAGCGACTTGCGGGAGAAGCTAATTTATACCTAATTTGTCTCCATTGGCTCCTCAAGATTTGCTCTCTCAGCCTCGAGTACCTCTTTTAGGTGCTTGTTTTCCTTCGCTTCCTCCTCAACTCTCTTCAACAGCTGCTCTTTTCCCTTTTCCACCAGATTACCCACAAACTTTTTAAATATAGTAAGCAGAGGATGGGCGTACTCTATCACACTCTCTTCACGATTTGGGGGGAATATCCTGGTATCGTAGGTAAATCCTGCAGAGTGCAAACCAACAACTCGGCCAAGAGCATCAAACACTGGGGAGCCAGAGGAGCCGTGATACATGAAAGTGTTATAGGTCACTACTTTTTCTGCATCCCTTCCACCCATCATTATGTTTTCAATGCTTTGAGCTTTGAGCACTTGAATGATTGGCTGGATGATGAACTTACTGTCTGTGTAAGGCTGTAAATTATCATTGATAGCCTTTAACCTTCTCTCTTTCTCAATGATACATGTAGAATCCATTTCTTTCAGTCTTCCCTCTGGGTGACCAATGATACAGGCTTCACCATTCAGAGGCAATGGACCAAATTTCTTCAGGAGCCCTGGTGGTACTTTTATTTTCTTTGTGTTTCTTCGTTTGTTGCTTCGGCCCTCAGGGTTGAGCTTCAGTATGGCGTAATCTAGCTCAACATCAAAGTCAATTAATGTTTTCTCACAACTGAATCGGTAGAAGTTTGTGTCAGGCTCAGGATCATCATAGTTAAATAGAGCCCACACATCTACATCCAGCTGCAACTTTTTGACATCAATGTGATTTTCAAATAAATGTGCATTAGTCAGGATAAAGTTATCAAACAGCACAAAGCCTGTTCCCTGACAAACATCCTTAACAATGAGTTTACAAACTGACTCGCCCAGTTTCAGCAGATTCCTGACTCTGTGAACTTCGCTAAAAGACTGTTGGATCTTTCCAAAGTCTTCCTTCCTCAGGGTCAATTCTTCCTCATACGAATTACCAGAGAATCTTTCCTCCATCCATTTTTTCAGATCTGGAAACTGCTGACGCAGTATCTCATAAATCTCGTCTATGTTGTCACTGCCCGACTTTTCTACTGCTCTTTTTACACTGACTCCACTCTGCTTCACTACATCTTCGACTGACCTTGTCTCATGCTCGTTTTGTAAATTATTTGATGCACCTTCCTTTTCCTGTTGTTTTTCATCACTTTTTCTCTTGTTCAGTGGAAGACATATCTTGAGTAATTTCTGATCAAGGTTGTCAACTGTTACTGTACAGTCAGTGAGAATATTTGGATTCTCATTGTCAGACAGACTAAATTTGCCGAGGTCATCAATGAAGCGACCGTCTCTTTTCAGAGCTGCTTCCACAGTCATACCCTTCTCTCCATAAACACAGAGAGTCTTGTACTGTTTGACAACACTGCTTCTAAAAAGCTCCTTTGATTTGGCGTTCACGCCTCCTATGGTATCTATGAAGAAGACTATATATCTGTCTCTTGGATAAATTATTTTGTTCTGTTGCTCTTGGGCCTCTTCGATCGTTTCTTTTTTACATGATATGATCAGACACTCATCATCACTGATACAAGAACAAGGGAAATGTGTTGGAACAATAGATTCCTTATCCTCTTTACCCCACTGAATTATAATGTTCGCATCTGCACATTTAATCTTCTCCTTGTATTTTTCAGTTGATTTTATTGCCTCGAGCACCGTGCAAGGTTGATGACAGTTCACGGTGTATTCCTTAGGGTCATGTCGACTGAATTTCACTGTGAAATGATGTGAATGTTCGCCCTGCAGGAAATCAGCAGCAAAGCAAAGGTTAGATGCCCTTGTTCTGATAAAAATGCTGCCTATTCTGTGCATCACAGTCTACTCACGTCAAAGCCATTCTCTTCCTTCACTTTCCATTGAAAGCCTGTGGCATTCTGCAAAATGAGAAAAAGATTTAGAGTTAATGTTAAAAAATCATGAACCTCATTCATGAAATGTTCAAAGTAGTAGCACCAGTAGCAAAATGGCACAATGGTTTTAAGAGCGGCTTCTTATTGAAATTTGTGCTCATGCACAAGGAGCAACTAATTGATTTTAAATTACTCCAATACTTCTTTGTCTTCATTTTAAACTGTAATGTCTTATCATTTAAAACCTACCAAACTTCTTTTTGTGGATGGCTATCTCTCTTTAATATAAGAGCCATTTGCTTCGACATTTTGTTTTCTAATGTTTCTGCCATTTTGCTTGGTGTTTTGTATGAATGTGATTGCATTAAAAGGACTTGTATACTTACATGTAGTCTACTTTCGCTGACACTGTCAAAAAGGTGATGATTCTACTTTATGTTATCATTGAGGTCACAGTGCATGGTGGTGTCGTGCTGGACTGTGTTATATATTGAATCATGATTCAATCACCTCATAAACCTGAAACCATTTCTCAATGCTAGAGAGCTCACCTGAGAGGCTGTAGCTCCACCTAGCTGTGTTTTCTCTGTACTGCTGCTGCCAGGATCGTCCTAATAAAAACATGCATACACAAACAAATCAATTAGGCATGCTGTGGCTACTTCTGAATAGAAATGATACCCACATAAGAAGTATGGCTTAGCTTTAACCAAAATTAAGGCTACACAAGTCACAAATATTAAAGATGATAAATGTCTGTTAAGCCTTGATTACAGAAATGGTTACTTACACTTTTCTTCGTAAAAAAGGACATGATGCCCTTTTGCCCTTTATGCTTTTTGGGAGGCATTTTGGGAGGCATTTACACCTAACATCACAAAAATAAAATTAGTTGATGTTAAAACGACATGTTTAAGCAATGAACAGGTTTTGGCTAACTCACATCTTACACCTAATTTTCAAATTAAAAAATTGACTGATGTTCATTTTATCAAACAAAGACAATTCAGTGGCACCTTGACGTTGATAAGGACATGTTGCTACCAGCCCACTGAGTAAGTTATACGCAGTTTATTCCAGAGAGATCCTGGTTGGGGAGAGTTGAGTCACCTTGGCATCCAGTACACATACAGACTGTGATGGTTAATTCACCCTCGTAGGGAGTGGTTACAGAGCAGTACTAGGCTCCGGGGACTAAAGGAGCACAGATTTTCACTCTCTACAACAGATAGAGAATAAAGATCCAAGTTCAGGACATAGCCAAATTTGCTAAATGTGTAATAAACGAGGAAATGACTCACTCTCAGCACACATTATGAGCTGGCAACAAACAAGTGTCAAGGGCATTGGGCAGTGCAGTCAGATCCTTTTTACCGCACACCAAATCAGACAACTTATCTATGTCGCAATTTCCAACCTTCTGCTTCCCGCTCTTTATATTTAACCCATTCACACTACTGCGATGTGCCTGTGCTTTTCCTTTACTTTCCTGCCTTTCCTTCACACATTTTGTCCTTCCTTGTTTCTTCTGCCTGTCACCACTTTGTCCCATTTTTAATATCCTTATCCTAATATCCTTTCCCCTCCCTCTCAAAAACACAATGATAATACAGATCAGTTAAGTTTCTCTTTCCTAGGAACCACCAAACAGGAAGCTGACTTCAGACCACATTTCCTTACTGAACTCGAGTGGCGCCAAGCTATTCAGTTGTGGTTTTATTTGCCAGAGTTTTGACAAATGCCACTAAATTGAGATTATTGCAAGATGTGATATATAAATAAAATAAAATGAAATGCCTCACTGCAGTGCTGTTCAAAGGGGGTTCAATTAAAGTAGATAAGTGATGGTAAATTAAAAATAAAAGATCAACCCTTTACTTTTATGGAAAAATCACTTATTTCAGAAGTTAACCACACAAAATGGCGTGAATTTCAATCACTAAGCGCATATGAATGTAGCTGCTAACAACTGGCAAGCTAATACAAATTGTAAGCTAAACATTAAAATTTCGTGGTCACTTTACCTGTTAGTGGTGGATATACTTTCGTTGTTCTGGTCACAATGGCGCCAGATTCCAGGAAAAACGACCGTAATTCTTCCTCTCAGGTTCAGAGCAAACACCTTCAATCTTGCAGTCCAGCAGATTATGTGGACGAAGAGTGGATTTGAAGTTTCCCGCTGTATGAAAAGAACGGGAAGGTGTGGACGATCCTAATGGTCCGTGGCTGACAGGGGCATTAAAAAAAATATTAGAGCATTAGTTAATTTTCGTCAGTATTAAATTATTAATCAATCGTCATACATTGAATATTTTATTTGTAAAATACTCATAAAAGTAACGGTTTCATTTTCTTTTCTGGTTCTTGGCAAACAGTAAATATCCAGAGAGCCTCCGTAGCCCCCATTTACTTACGTGAGATGGTTCGGTCCTGCTCCCACAAAAGGCACCGGTGATACTTCCAGAAAAATCTAGAATGACCATAGGCTGCACGGGGAGAGACAGCACGTGACTTTTCTGAATTAACTTGTAAACTTAGCTGTAAATAGTGAAACATGGTACTTCTGCTCCCCTAACACCAGTTACATTCACAGAAAATAATGAGTATATATTTTACATTAAATCAATGCAGGATTTTTTTGAGCAAGCTCAGTTGACTGCTCCTTATTCAGCAGGGTTATACTGAGTTCCTAATATTTTGCCAACCCTTAATTCGTGTAAATGTGATAGACAAAGTATTAGGAACACCTGTCAGTATAATCTAGTACAGTTCAACAGCTTCACATATTACACCCTCCAAAAAGACTACTAAAACAAACATAATTTTTGACAGATTCAATAAAAAATTGAACAAAATAATTCTCATTAAGATAGGATTTATTGCAAAGCGGTTGAATTACACTGCTTTAGTTTCATCTAGATGTACCTAATAAATTGGCAGGTGAATGTAAATTTATTTAATCGCTGTGTTGCACAGTAATCCCATCCCCTGAAGTGGAGAATCAGTATTTCAAAACCTAAGATGAGGTTGACATGGATTTATTTCATCACTGGAATAAAAAAATATAATAATAATGATAATAATAATTAATAATAATTTATGCATCAACAAGGAAAATATTAGAAACAATATACAAGCTATAACAAGAGTCACAAGCCGTTTTCTCACTGATAGTTGGCTGTTAAAATAAACTATTATGCTTGGGTATCCAAAGTAAACAATATGATGCTGTCTTGCTGAGTCTTAAACAGATCATTCTGATATGCTTTTGCTTCAAGTGACCGTGCAAAGTTGTTGCACTGCTGTGATAAGCCATTTCCAACTTGCAGATCTTAGGTCTGTCTAAAACCTCTACACTTTAGATGATCCTGTGCTAGGTTTTGTAGCTGCTGCTTGTTTTCCAGGGTGCTTGAACCAGCACAGTCATATTTCCTACTCGCCATTGTCGTTATCGATGACATCAGTTTCATGGATGCGCCGCTCCAGCCCTAACCAACTTGTTGTTTAGCGTTTCACTTTTTGTTTCTCCAGAATCGCTCATCTGAAAACCTTCACAAAGACAGAAAGAAATAAAGACAGACTGACAGACATTTATAGTTAGATTTATTCAGTACAAAGTTAATAGCAGCAGTCTGGATAAGAAAGCAACATCTACTTGATTTGGCAAAGGAAAGATTTCTTCCTGTTGAACCAGAAAACATTTCAAGGATCTGATAAAAACCCATTAAAACTCCTATTATTGAATGTTTGTGTGGCTACTGTAGTTATGGGGCACATGTAAGCCAAGAGTACACTCTACCTCTCTTCTCTGATCTTTATCCCCCATTTTGTAACACGATACTTAAACTGATCCTTGAAAGGATGTTTCACTCTCTTCTACACTGGTTTACATTATGGAGGTTCATCTGCAGTGTCTCTGTTTGGAACCACCAATAACGTACTGCCTGCTATATACTCAACGGCTACAACAAGCTGACCACTGACCATCAACTTTAGCTCCATACAAATGAGAAGATACTGAAACAGACATCCAAAATAAAACTTAAGTAAAAAAAAAAAAAAAACTAATTTACATGAAATGTAAACAGGTTTTATGTGTACCACAAACATTTGGACTGAATTGTCCTTTTCCATAATCAAAGTGCAAAGAGCTGCAGCTTTCAAAATGCAGATCAAGTTTCATAAAAGAAGAGTTTGAGTAGAAACTCGTTAGTGGTGTCAACAGACCCAGCAGTGAGGAGTGCAAAAAAATGAAATAAAATAAAGGCATTTTTATGACAGTACAAAGTAAAGCAACGGTTTATCTCAACAAAATCAACATGCATGAAACAGTGTTTCCATAAGTTCCAAACTAGACACATCTTTCTCTCGCGTCAAAGATTTCAAAAAGATCAAATACTTGATCTGTGCTTAAATATTTCTGTTCAAGTTGGCAGCAGTTTCAGGATCACGGTGTCCTCTGAACACAGAGACCCAAGGCCACCTAGGGTCGCTCTGCAGGGACGTTTGCAAGCGTTCAGTCCAAGAACAAGTAGTGAAGAAACAAAAGACTACAGAAGCAGCCCGAGTCAGTTCCTCGTCGCGCTGACTTTGACAGTTCACTGCCAAACGTTTCTCGCACTTTACTCGACTCCAGACGTACTTACAGAGGCGCTCCTCTGGGCTCTATTCAAGGCCCAGTGTGAAGTTAATCCCATGAACGATACCGATGATGATGGGTTGCCAGGCAACCAGGTATCTGAGCCAGTCAAGCAACTGCCCATAGAGGACATGTGTCTTCTCCCAGCTGGGAAAAAGGAATTAAGGAGTGTGTTCAGATAGATGAGCGGTGATCTATGAACAAGTTTAAGGGTATAAAGTATAGTTATACCTTATATAAAATATATTAGGGTGCACATTATGTTTTTGTATATTTTTGTTTAGTTTTTGTGTTTATCATAATAATAAACTAATGCCTGAAGTGAAATAAGTTATTAACAAACTCTGACCCACAGAGCAAATCAGTTCCCCATCACTGAGCCTACCACACAGGGACAACAGAAGGATACGGGTTGTTCATCATCCTCTTCAAGTCAACCTTCTCGTTGCAGTACGGACAGGTCTGCTTCTTACCCACGATGCACCAGCCACGGATGCAGAACTCATGGAACCTGAAGGGGCGGGGCAAGTTAAGGCAGAAAGACTAAAAATAAAAGTGTATTTGGCTATTGCCATATAGTTTGGAACACAAAAATAACTTTACTGTTGAAAAAAATATGAGTGTTTTTACAGTGGAAGAGAAAAGTATTTGTCTGTTTTTGGAGAAGTAGCTCACAGTACTTCAGCAGACAAAAGATAGCAGCAGAAAAAAGTGTTTTTCTTCCTGCAGCTTTAGGATACAAGTGTCCACAGGACAGCTGGTAGGTGTCTTCTATAAATCCTTCCTCCTCCACGTCCACCAGGATCTTCTGACCGCACACGGCGCAGATGTCGTTGGTCAGGCTCCTGCTGGGCATGCCTCCCTTGTTGTAGTACTGGAAACGCACACATACAAGAACAACAGTGTATTTATTTAATACAGTTAGAGGAATGTCCACAGATTTTAAACACAGGGGAAATATGTATTCTGTAATCTGTAATAATAATAATGTTGAAAACATGAAAAA